GGGCCGCGCACAGACGCGTCGCAGGGGGTACAGCGAGCGGCGCTGCAACCGAAGTTTCCAGGTAGGGCGGTGATCGGCTGTTGCGAGGCAACACGCGCAGGAGAGGCTGGGCTTGATCGCTGCCGTTCTGTGCGAGATGCGCCGGCGACATGGATTTGCTTGAATGCGCGCGCACCTTGCCGGTGCCAGGCGGTCCATGCAGCAGGAAGTGGCGCGGCGGCTTGCGGATGCCCTTGAACCTGTGGGGTCGGGCGGCGCAGCGCGCTCACATCACGCAGGCGGCGAGCGGCCCGGCCCTGCGAGCTGCCAAAGCCCGTCGCTGCAAGGTCACCGCATGAAACGGTGCACGTGTGCAGTTCCAGAGCAGTGCAGGATCAGAGGAGCAGGATGGCATGTTAGCAGTGCGGGATGACATGTCACCCAGCATGACGTGCCACCCAGCTGTACAGCTGATTGGGCAGCCGCTGGCACGTCCCGAACACCTCCTTTGGGGCCTTACAGGTGTGGGTGCCGCAGGGGCATGAAGATTGCCTCCTCAAGCTCGTCCTTGATGGAGCTGGGGTCGAGGCGGGCGGATCGCGCGGCGAGAGATGCGGCATGCGTGGCGAAACGGGTGGCATGCGTGCTGCATGCTCAGGTGGTGGAGGAGGGGGTGGGCGGGATGCTGACGTGGTGCGCAACGCGTGCATCTGGGCTGCTGACTATGCCCGTGATCGCCACTCCACATCGTCCGAGGCAGCTGTCTCGTACAGTCATCCAAGGTTACTCACTCGAGGCCGACCACATCATCCAATGTGCCGGCCACCTGCCGCTGGCACTGCCGCAGCAGCTCCACCTTGGCCGCGCCGTGCTCAGCGCCGCCGCCGCTCCCGCCGCCGCCGGCCCCCCAGCCCCGGCAGTCCAGCGCTGCTGCTCCGCCCGCGCCGCAGGCAATGAGGCGGGCGCCGCCCGGGTCGCGGGGGTCGACGATGAGGGGTATGCCGTCGCTCGCTGATGTGGCGGACGCGACTTCGTAGTAAGGGGGCGCAGCTGCCGCCCCATCCACATGGAGCCAATGCGGCGACGGGCCTGTCAGGGGTTCTGGCGCGGCGGCAGCTGCAACAGCGCCGGGCTGCTGCTGCCGCTGCCGCTGTCGCGCCTTGAGGGCCTGCGGGCGTTGTTGTGCGTGGCAGAAGGCGCATGCACCACCTCGCAGCACGCCTGTTCAGGACGTTGTTGCTAGTGGGGTAAAAATTGGTGAATGCCACGCGCCGCAGCCCCATGCCGCCCGCACCTCCATGCGACACGCGTAGCCATTGAGAAGGCCACGGCAGACAGTTGAAAGGTCGCCGGCAGCTTGTGTTTGCGGCACGCACACGTCCAGCAGGTACTGCAGCTGGGTCGTGGCCCTAGTATACGCCTCAGCCGCGCTCTCTAGATCCCCTGCGAGCTCCAGCTCGAGCGCCTGGAGGGCCTCGGCCTGGACGCCCTGGATCTGGTCGCCCAGCGCCATAAAGGGGCGCGTATAGCAGATATAGATCAATTCATGACTTCTTCGCAGCGCCTGTCACGCTGATCATCAATCCTGAAAATTGGCGCGCAGCACAGCGATCTGGGTTACCTTTGTTTGTATGTTGAAATGTTGTGTAGGAAAGTCACAATTGACGAGACGCAAGCGGGAAGAAGTGCGTTCGCCACATCACCAACAGCGGCAGTATGATACTTCGGAGACTTGCTATACCACAGCAGGCGTCGTGCAGGGCATGTATGCGTGATACCACCGCGGCCTGCGCACGTCAGCGGCACTCACCTAGCACAAGCTGTGCAGCACGCATGCACGCATCTTGCACATGCATTCCAGATGGCTGGCAGTCTGCAGCGGCGCCGTTGATTCCACTGTACAGTACTGTAGTGCAAGCCACCATGGTAGGCTAGCATCAGTCCTGCTTCCTGTACCCAGAGGTGGCGCGACTTGAAATCCGATTCGCCTTCTGAAATAATGTGTTTGGCGCCGGCATACGTACAGCACGCTGCGGCCGGCTGCCGCCGTCCCACGCAACTAGCTTGTGCCACACCTGTGGCTCTCGTTGTGCCAGGAGGGTCGTGTCGCTGCTTGTGAGGCTTGACATAACACAGCATGTGCTAAGCCCAAAAAGCCTCTCACATTCTCTTCATCGCTGTGAGGGGCCACGTTTGAGGGATCCGGACGCCCGCCAACTCAGCATGCGGCGGTCGACGGGGCACGTGTGCTTGCGACTCCCACATTCGTTCTCCGTACCATGTCGAGTTGCATGTACAATAAATGTTTCATGAAGAAGTACAATTGCACTCTCAAGCCCCCTAGCTTCGTACATTATCTCAGAGGACCTTGCAGCAGCAATACGACTCCGCCCGAGTTGCAAGTAGGCCACCACGCGCAGAACTCGAGAGTATTGAAGCTAACGCACATCCTCTTTAACTGGTGAGGGCCCCCTGAAGGCTGGGTTCGGGTCTCTGGTTGCGGCAGGTGCACTCGCGAAACAGCTGCGGCCCTCCGGACACGCCTGCCTCTCGTGAGATGTTCGAACTGCACATTAATGAAGTTGTTACCTCATATCGGGTAATAATATCATGGGCCTTGCCAAGCCCGTGCCTGACTGTCCGCACCTTCCTCCACACCACAACTGCGCTGCATTGCGCAGAAGCCCCGCCTCCTGCAAACATGGCCCTGAAAGATATCATGGTGAGCAGCATTTGCAACCAAACTCCCAGCACCAGACTGGCTCGAAAAACCATGTACCTGCCGGCAGCTTGGGTTCAGCCGCCGCCAAGCCAGCAGCTGCGGCAGCTCCAAGGTTCTGCCTCACTGTTGCTGCTCGCCCCCGCCACCCCCTCCCTCACGTCCGCCATCGTCACACTCCCCTCCATCTCGATCGCTCCTTTTTCCTCTGAAACATAGATGCTCATGAACCTGGTCTCAATTCTGGCTGCCCTCCGAGCCTGCGACATCACAAAGCACTCCGGCGGCAAGAGGGGCCGCAAGCCCATTGTTCCCGCCGTCACGGCAGCCGCGGCCGCCACCCCTGCCGAGCCTGCCGCCGAGCCCGCGCCGGCAGCACAGCCCCGCGCCGCTGCCAGCCCCGACGCGCTGTGCAAGGCTGCCACCGCCAGCCCTGCCGCTGAGGTTGGATGGTTCAAGCGCGTTTGCCTCGAATCGCGCGCCTTTTTCAAAACCCCAATCAAGTTTGCCAAGAAGCCAGTCTTCTCGCGGGCGGCGATGCCCGCGTCTGCAGCCACCACTGCCAAGAGCCCCATCAAGCCCACCGAGCCCCCGCCCGCGCCCCATACGGCCAGTGCAAGCTCCAGTAAGGGCAGCGGCGACGCCGCCCGATGCGGCCGCAGCCCCTCCGCTCCCGCGGCCACTTTGTCCCGTTGGTTCAACAGCACCGCCACCAAGCTCAAGACCAAGTGCGCCGCCGCGTGCGACGCCGTCGCCAACCCCGTCACCGCCGCCGCCGCCGCGACCAAGGCATCGGCGCTCCGCCTGGCCGTCAAGGGCAAGATGCTGGTCACCAACAAGGGCCGCAGCGGCACCACGGCTCCCGACAACCGCAGCGACGACGCGTCGGAGTACGCCTCCGCCAACAGCGCCACCCCCTCGTTCCTGTCGCTGCGGTCGTGCGCGTCGTTCGTCTCGATGGCGGATGCCGGCTACTACGACGCCGTCCCCGCTTTCAGCACCCCCGCCGGCGACGCAGAGGTGCTGCTGGCCGTCGACACCGCGACCCACACCGTGCCCACTGTGGCCAAGTCTGCCGCCCCCGAAGCTTCCCCGAAGTCCAGCACCAGCGCAAAGACGCGCGGGGCGGCCAAGAAGATCGTGCGCCTCTTTCTGTGCGGGGCCGCGCCCACCGCGCCCGCCCCCAAGGCGCCCACTGCGGCGGGCTGCTCCGCCCCCGCCGCCGCTGCCAAGCCTGAGCTCGGCGCGGCCATTGCCGCAAAGGCCGCGGCGGCGCTGCTGCGCATCTCGTCGCGCCGCCGCCGCCCCGACCAGGAGGGGGAGACGGCGGTGGCGGCGTAGCGCGTTATCTGGCCAAAAAGATGACAGTTGACAGAGCACATCCAAAGGTTGACCTCCACCTTTTGACGCCTGCCAAGCAACATGCGCTCTCCAAAGCTTTGCGTGCAACATGCGCCCGTATGCAAGCAGTATTGGGGCATGTTCTCATCCATGTGGCCGCGGCCGTGCCATATCTGATGAACCAACCTTGACTCACCAGGTCAAGGCGTTTCACCGTCATCCCCCTGCCACATTCCGCCCGTCAGCGACATCGTGTTGCGGCGGCGTTGACCCCCACCCACTTCACACGGCCTGCGCCACCTCTGCCGAACCCTGAAAATCAACGGAATGCATGAATTTTTAATCCACACGTTTTCTGTAACCTGTTGGCCAGTCAAGTGTGACGAGCAAGCTGCAAGGGGGTATGTTGACCAGCGGTCAAGTCACCAAGCCTTTTTCCCGCCAGGCCCCAAGCTGCTGCTGCACGCTCCCCTAAAAACATATGGAGGGAAGGTATAACTGGAATACAGTCATCGTTGGACGTCAAATCGGGCAACCTCTCAGGATGACAGCGATATGGTCGCTGTTCGTCACATTGATGGCCCAAGATGTCGCTGCTGGGCAGCACTGTGGGGCTGTGAGCGAGACTCAGAGTGCGCAATTAATTGATGATCCTCAGCCGCAGGGCCTGATATCAGACAGGCGGCACTCATAGCCACAGTTGGGTCTGCCATATCAAGGAGCCCAACGCAATCAAACGCCCCACACAACCTAATAGCGCGCCCCCCCCCACGCCGGGGCCCCTGGGCTGTGCACCGTGCCGCAGGCGCTAACTCTCGGCCCCTCTCCCCCAGCAGCTCGAAAGAGCACACACGTCAACAAGTCACAAGTAGTCGTCGCTACAAGCTTGAAGTGTGTCGTTGTCATGATTACGCAGCACTGTTGATTACATCATATTGTAAACTCAAGGTGCTGCACCTCCAGCAACCTGTCAAAGGCAGTCGTAACATGCTGCTCATCAGCACGGGCTCAGCGACTGAAATCATGGAACGCCGTCACTACAAGAGTAGTGCAGTTGATAGGTGACGTTGCTTCAGCCCCGCTCCGCAAAACCATCAGCCGGCTCCGGCTTGCGCGCCGCTGTGCGAAGCAATTTTGCGGGCGAGGGTGACGATGGTCCAAAGGGCCCACAAGGAGGCCCCCACCAATTTGTGGGAGTGGGGAATGTGTGCATGGATTGCAATGCGCACTACGCAAGAAGAACAACGTACCAGACAATCGACACACACTAATTAATTGTCAAAATGCGGGCGCTACCCCCTTGCGCGCTCGAGGACACAGCGCAAGGTAACAGCTGCACAGCTGCCGTCGGGGTCAAGCGAGGAAAGGAAGCAAGGCATGGTCAATGCTGTCGCATCCTTGATGGCAACGAACCCCCACGCATTCCGTGTTGGTAAGTGCAAGGCGAAGACGCTCGTTCAGCTTTATTGCCCTTGAACAACTCTCGAAACTCCGCCGCTTTGCCCCACACGCGCACCCGGCAACAGGCAGCCAGCAGGCAAGGCCCGCCCGCTTGTGCACCCAAGCATCGCGGCCGCGCCGCGCAATGCGGCGAACTCCGGCAGCCCCTGCCTCGCGCGGCCACTCGCGCCTGTCTCTCTTTCAGCCACGCGCCGTCCTGGGTCACCCACAGCCCACGCAGGCAGCAGCCCCATCAGTATCCTGGCGGCGCCGTGGCCCCGCCCCACTCGCCGACCACGTACTGCACCCCCAGGCGGCCGCTGGGGATGTGCTTGCAGCACTGCCTCAGGATGACCTCCCGGCCCTCGTTGTCTAGGTGCAGCTGGGGTGCGGGTTGAGGCCAGCAGGGTGCGTGTTGCGGAGGGGTGTGATGGGTGGGGTGTCGTGGGGTGTGGTGGGGTGGGGTGTGGCGTGACGCAGTACAGCTTCGTGCTCTGCCATGTGGTATCGAATCAAGCTTGGCATTTGAGGTGTGGTTGCCCGGTTGCATGGGGTGTCCTGAGGGGCAAAAGACCGGCATAATGCAGCCATCAACTCAGTTGAGAGCAGCCTCATGATGTTGTCAAGAGGTAATCAGCTCAGCGCTCCCACGCGGGGCTGTTGGAGAGCTCCAATGATGGGCATAGTAGGAATGCAGAGTCCATATCCCAGGCGAAGCTGCAAAGTGCACTGGCAGCAGTCGGCCCCGTGCTGTGCAGGGCGGCCAGCACCCCGCAGCCTGCAGCACTCACATAATCTTCGCAGACAAATTCAGGCAGGTTGCCCCACATGCCCTTGGCCACCACCCTGCAGGGGAAGCGACGCATCGCAGGTCTTGATTGCTCAAGCCAGGACCCGACGCAAAAAAGTGCCAGCACCCCAGGCGATCCAGGCAAGTCACTGACCCGCTTGACGCGGGCCCGAAACTAGCTGCTGCCTGTACGAACACAGTGAGCAGTCACCGTCCGCCACCCCTGCCGTCCCATCTCTTGCCGCGGCCCCGTCTGACGAGCCACGGCGCCCACCGCAGGATGAGAGTGCCGCAGGCCGTGTAGAACATCTGCCCGTAGCTCCTGCCGGCAACGCTCAGGTCGCGCCGCAGCTTCCAGGTAGTTTCGCTGCCGTCCTTGTTGAAGGACTCGGCGTAGCGCGACAGGGGGCCCAGGGGGATGCTGTCGGGCTTGACCACGAGCGACCAGCTCGTGGGCGTGTCCAGCACCTGTGGCGGCGGGCCGGCGGGCAGGCAGACAGAGAGAGAGTGTGTATGTATGCGTGTGTGTGTGTGTGTGAGTATATGTGTGTGTGTGTGTGTGTGTGTGTGTGTGTGTGTGTGTG